ACGGCGGGGTGCGCTGCCCCAGAGCACCCCTGCTTCAGGAGCCTGGGTTCTGCACCCCTTGCCCCACCAGCAGCCGTCCCGACGGGGAACGCAGCAGCCCGGGAGCCCGACTAACCCAGCGCTCCCAGCTTCTGGTGGCAGTTTCCACGGGAACAGATGTTGGAACAGCACAAAAATAAGGGCTTCAAAGAGCTCTTCCCCCCCTGCCCTGGCCTCACCTCTACCTCCAAAATGACTCGCTGAACAAAAAACAGCCGAGATGGAGGCTGCGTGCTGGGTAGGGGTCATGCGATTAGTTACCCATCGTTAAAGTCGGGAGGTTGCGCGCATCGAGCCTCCCGCTGCAGGACGCCCGAAGAGCTTGGGGAGCCTGAGCAGGGCAGTGGGCGCCCGGCAGCCCTGCTGCGAGGTCCGGGAGGCTTGGGGCGGCGGCGTGGGGAGCTGCGGGACGTCGGAGCAACTCCTGCGGCGGCGGGGAGTGCTGCTGCGCCCCGTGGGAATGTTCACGGCCATTGGGGCCTGCCTGACTCGCAGAGGGGGCCCAACACTGTTATAAAGAAAGGTTTAAAAAACACGGGGGGGGGGGGGGAATATCTCCTTGCGATGCGGTAGGTCGAAAAGGATCAAAACTTGAAGGCGTCCAAGGTCCTCTCTTTGGAAAGAGAAAACCTGGCGCTTTGCACAAGTTTTGCTTTGCAGGGTGGGGGCCAGGGTGACGGCGGAGACGACAAGACAGGCTTTAGGGTCTGGCTCCACGCACGCCTCTGCGGCAGAGACCGGAGGGCCAGGCCAGGCAAATCCCAGACTTTGTGTCTCCCGAGCCTTCACATCCTTCTGCTCCTCTGCTGCTCCGAAGAGCTCTGAAATAACCAGGAGCCTCCCCTGGGACTGAGGCTATGGGATAAATTTGACCCTCCGGCAGCACGTGAGGCATTTGCTAAATATCCCCGGTTAAAAATAATACCCGCATATTCTGTACCTTATGCTTGGAGGTGGAAAGCATTAATGCCACCAGCGTGATCGGTGCCATACCCTCGACAGCAAAAGGGCCTCTTCATGCCCAGAATATCACCCTGCCCCGCTCCTGTTCATCAGGAGTTTGTTTTCTTTTAACTCGCTGACTTTCTGGGATAGGTGAGTAGCCAAAACCCAGCCACCTCCTTCCCCCAGCCTCTGGGGTTGTTTGGGACATGAAGCAAGCCCAGGGAAATGCAATGGGAGCCAGGCTCTCTGCCTCCTTAGGTGCCTTCAGCGGTCTGATTGCAGGTCTCCGGCCGGGAGGGGAGGACATCTCTGAGATGCTCAGAGGAGAGAGCAGCCTGGGGAGGGTCGGGAAGCTGCCTCAGCTCTCCCTCCTCTCCTCCGGACCAGCTCTGGTTCTCGGCTGTTGCTAGGGGAGATGGAGAAGAGCAGTTGATGGAAAGCTTCCCGTAAGGGGCACCAAAAGAAAAGTATCAATATTACCATCCCAGGGTGGCAGAGCCTGGCCTGCCAGCCGCCAAACGCTGGCACAGCGAGGGCAGAAACTCCCGGCCCGTGTGAATTCACCAGGTACCAGCCCTGCCTTCGCATCTTCCGCGACCTGGTGATTAGAGCAAATTATAAGCCGGTGCTTTGGACCAACTTAGCTAAAGATCAGAAGGGAGAGTAATTTCATATCATCACCACCGCAGAATGCAATTAAATGGCTCTGCGAAGTTTTAACGCAAGTTATGACAAGAAATTTAGGAAAAAAAATAAATCCCCACACCCAAAGCCAGCAGCTCTGTCTAGCCGAGTCACAGGAGGACGTACCAAGGCTACCGAGCGCTCCCAAGGTTTGGAGGGCGACCTGTGGGCTGCCTGACTTGGCCGGGCTTTTTCTTCATTGGGAGTTTTTCTTGGGTTGCAGCAATTAAGGCACCAGAATTCATTAAAACCCCGAAACCAAGAGCCCAGCTGGGTGTTTTAAGCACCCTGCTGTGGATTTCTCCCAGCCATCGGGGTGCCTCCCTTGCCGGGGCCGCATCGCACAGCACGCCGCCGTCGGGTACCCAACAGACCCTGCTCTGCCGAGCCTGAGGGCAGGAGAAGATGCCGGGTGCTGCGGGGCAAAGGCAGCGTCCCCCCAGGCACGGCGGGGGGAAGGCACGAATGCACCGGGCGCTGCCGGCGGCTCGGCCGGGGCTGCTGTGGGATCCCCGTGGGCAGGCTCCCGTGGGCAGGGATGCACAGCAGGAAGGACAGGTTTGGGAGGGAGTAGCTGTGGGAAGAGTGGCCTCTCCACGTTGCATATTAACGCTCTGCGTGCTTTAATTGCGGTGGGACCTATCGCGTGGAGCCATTAGCATGCAATGCGGAGGAACACGTATTTTTGGGATGCCTGCCTAGCTCGCAGACTCTCAGCCACGGGGAGGTGGTGGGCCGTGGGATGCAGGGAGAGGTGTCTCGTCCCCGCCCAGGGACGCCGCTGGAGTCGCAGCTCCTTCCTCGAGCCCCTGAATCATCCCCGCTGCCATCTGCTGCACCCTCGCTCTTCCCCGCAGATGTCCTTCTTCCTTCCCCAGAAGGAGATGAGAACCGAGGACGAGGTGCCAAACGCGACTTCAAACAGCATCTAATAAAACATGGGATTAATTTCTTCTGACTGGTGTTCAATGGCTCTGATTAAGCAGAGCAGGATTTAATTAGCTGTTTTGGGCTGCCTCAAAACCCGTGCCAAAGGTGGGGGAATCTCAGTGGCTGGGTCCCCCCAGGCCCCGACCACAAGCTGATGGAGGCCAGCAGGAGCTTCCCCCCATGGAGCAGAGCCCGCTGCCTGCCCTGCCAGGCTGGCAGCTCCTTCGGGATCCTCCGACCGCCTGTTACCTCCCGGGACGCCTGCCCTTGGCTGTGCTTAAT